TATATATATATATATATATATATATATATATATATATATATATATATATATATATATATATATATATATATATATATAGTATAGATACGTTGTTTTCTTTTTCATTTTCTTTACTTATATATTTATATAATAAAATAGGAGTGTGTTCGAATTTTATTTCAGTCATATTTTTTCCTTCAAAATCATCACCAATCACTTAGCTCACCTATCATTCCTTTGTCAGACTCAAACGTCAAATCACATCACTCATTTCTATCACATATTTAATCATTTATATATTTTCTCCCTAAAAATATCACACCACTCATTTTTATCATATATTTAATTATTTAATATTTAATTAATTTATAGTTAATATATTTTGAAAAAATTTAATATAGTGAGATCGATTTTTTAAACCCTCGAGTTTTATATTTTATCGTGTCTTCAGGCACGAATTATGACTAGTATATATATATATAACAACCCTCACTTGAAGTTACCAAAAGTGATCTAGCAAGGAGAAAAACAGTATCAGATTTCTATCAATTAACTGTTCCTAAACTTGTACGAGCCAAATTTCTATTACACAAAGTACACAAAGGCTATGTTCTGGGTGAGTTAGAAGTTACGTGTTTGAGTCGTGGAAATAATTTTTTTGTTTGCGGGGCTAAGATTGTTGTATATATTTAATTTTCTCGGACTTCATAATGACAGAAATCCTATGCACTAAATACATCTTTTTAAATAAAAATTATGTTATTTATCTTCTGTGCACTACTTTGCACATACATATAATTGATGATTAGCATAGATCTTTTAAACCGAGAAGCGTCGAATTTACTGTTTCTTTTAATGCATGGCATGCAGGTACTACTCAAATTGAATGGTCTCTTTTAGCGAACAGTCTCAAAGTTGATGACTTGAGTGAGCAATTGAAGAATGTAGACATTCAAAAGCTTCTAAAAGCTTTCATCGAGGGTCAAGCTGAGAAAAATATTACTCTTCCAGTGTCTGACCAGCCATGGGAAGAGCAGATCACAGATTGGAAGCCTTTAAATCAAGTAGGGACTGAAACAGTGAATACTGACCCGACCCAAGAAACTGAAGAGGAAGTTACAGAATTAGAATTTGCAGTAGAGAAGATACATACCCACAATGTGTATTGTCCTAATTGCAAATCAGGCATTACAAAGGTTATTCTTCGCAGAAGAACACAAGTACACCCGATTCCATCTCCAGTTAATATTCCAGATCATGAGCCTGTGGGTCTTCTTGGATGCTTATCATGCCTAAGCATTTTCATCCCTAGAGGTGGAATTTTGAACCTAGCTCTATTTACAACTAGCCTTTTCTTTCATCCATATTGTGCTTTGAAGAACGTACTTACGCAGTTGATGTAGATAATGTTTAGATCATGAGAATGATGATAAATTTATTTGTGATCAATGATCCCGAGCACTCCAATGTGAAAAAAAAATAAGCTATACAGCCACCGCGAATTTGATTCTATGAAGTACTTGTTTCCTTTTTTATTACGATGATGGATTTGCATATAAAAACCGCATATATCATTATACAATGGAAGTTTAAAATCTAAGGAGACATACTATGATTCCCTAAATTCATTGTTAGCTGTTTTGTTCAAATTTATTCAGAGTTGTAAGCTTTTTGAAATATGTTGTTATGAGTTCTAATAGCCTTAACTGGCTACATGAAAAGGTAAGTAGACTTTGGCATGACATTACAGTCCTAACAAGTATAACTGTCTTGTTAAATGCAGGGAATAGTCTTAATCCATTCAAGATTTTTGGAAACAGAAGAGACGATGAACAACCACAAATTCCACAACAGACACCCGAGGCAGACACAGTTATTTCCTCATCTGCTGTGGCAGATGATCAATCAGTGAATAAGCTAGGTAATTACTTCTTTGCAATCCTTTATTTTATTTAACTCATTCAGGACTTACAAGTTGCAGCATTTAGCATTCTGGATTATTTTCTCTTTATGTTGCAACAATTTAGAACTCTGAATCTAAAAACTTCTTACAGAAGAATGCTGTTTCAGATAGCTGATCAATTTTACTATTTTCTTATGTTAATCAGGGGAATGCTTTAGTCTGTTTTGGATTTTTGGAAAGAGAAAAGAGGAAGAAAGCGCACCAATTTCTCAACCTACATCTTCTGAGCAAGGTATTGTGTGCAATACTTCATTCTATTCGACTCATTTAGGACAATACCTTGTGAGAACCACCACAATGAATTGGTCTNGAGCAAGGTATTGTGTGCAATACTTCATTCTATTCGACTCATTTAGGACAATACCTTACCTTGTGAGAACCACCACAATGAATTGGTCGTTACATCTACCTTACATTACAAAACATTAAAAACTCTCTATTCCACAAAAAATGTTGTGAAAATAATCTTTCTCCAGACAGCAGTTAGCAGAATCTGAGCTGGTTATTTACAATTAATTTGTTGCAATTCCTTGTCATGTATCTAAGCTAATATATTAACAGTCTACAATGTAGTTGCAAGTGACTTGCCACCCAAACCATTGGAACCTGGAAAATACCCTGAAGCTTATCCACCAGAAGGATGTACACAGCCAGAAGAAGTAATAATCGACGTAGAAGGGAAACCAGGTAAGGAGATCACCATTGTAACCCTGGCCTCCTTACTGCAAGTAGTTTTGACGAATGAGATTGTTTGTCCATGGGAATTATAACGCAGAAGCTAGTGTGCCATTACCACCTGTACAAGAACTGCCAGTCGGACCAGGACCCCTCCAGGGCTCTCAGGATGTAGTTGATGCAGCAAGACCAATATATTCACCTGAAAGAGAAGGTTCTAAATCAGTAGAGATCATCAAAAGCATTGTTTATGGTGGTTTAGTGGAGTCAATTACAAGCCTAAGTGTTGTGTCATCTGCAGCAGCTTCTGATGCTACCACATGTGAGTTTTTTTTTTTT